CTCTTTCCTCAGAATATATCTTTTTTATTATTAACGCACCTGACATACAAACTGAGAGCATCAATATCAATTCATATATTAGCAAAATTTAATTACTTTAATTAAAAAAGAATTTTTTTTTGGTAGTGTTGCGCAGCTTGTGGGCTGTTAGTTCCCCGACCAGGGATAGAACCCAGGCCCTTGGCATTGAGAACACAGAGTCCTAACCCCTGGACCACCAGGAAATTCCCCTTAGTTGACTTTAAAAATCAAAAATAGATAGGTAGATACGTAGACAGAAAGAAAGAAAGAGAGAAAAGAAAGAGAAATAAATCCTATTCTTTCTATATCCCAATAGACAGGTCAGTGCATACCCCCAAAGGTATATAGCCACTCTGTAGACCTCTAATCCATATCCCTGAAACTAAAATTTTTATATACAGTAAATGAAACATCAGAATACCTAGAGTGTACGAGCTTCCATAATTAATTGCTCGGTTTGCTAAAATTAGCTTAGCACAGCAGTACATGCTGTGTTTATCTTATTCCTCATACACTAGGAATACTTTACTCAGATTAGCCATTTCCCTCTTGCAGGCAATTAAACTGGCAAGACAAGTGATTAAACTATTACTGTAAACTGAGTTTTTCTACCCCATTCCCTCCACTCAATCTATATAAACTTGACTCCTAATCAAGGAATCTTTATAAATATTTTCCTTTTAAAAAACAGAAATTGTAATTTGACCAACCTATATAAAAAATGGAAGAATTCCAGGTTTAGGGAATAATGATTTTATTCATTAGTTGCCACTAAAAGAGATAGGAAATACAGGGCCAGGCTATCATTTGGCTAGAAAAGATAATTATGCAGTCTTGTACTTGTTAAATTAGAAGGGTCTATAGAGATATTAGCCTTGAAAAGGCACAGGAATCATTTCTTAGGGAAAAGTGAAAAGGAAGGCAAAATGAAGAAGGGCTTGGTGAAAGAACCAAAAATTGCCAGAGCTTTTCCTTACACCTAATTGGTCACCAAGTCTTATGAATTTTTAAATGTCTCATACTCTGTCCCTTTTTTTTTCAACCCTGATGTAGTTAAACCAGACATGTTTTTAAAATAGCCTTCTCCATGATTTCTTGTCTCCAATGTCCCTTCTCTTCATCTTTCACAGTATAATTATCTTCTAAAATAATACAGTGACATCATTATTGCACAAAAAAAATTCGACATGTTACCATTTATATAATTTGGATGAATTTACTGGCTTTAACCAGAGTTACAGAGTCACCATATTCTTATTTTATAAACCCTTCAGAGTTCCCTCTTCAAATAGCCTGGCTAGCTTTAACTGGCACTTTAGTAATCAACCAGCAAGGATTTATTAGCTGTTGTACACTGCACTAGGTTTGTAATAATTTCTATCTTCAGAGATCTTAAACTCCAGTTGGACACTATAAGCTTTTAGACACTGCTACATCCTTAAGCACTTAACTGTTCTATGCCCATTGAGTAATCAGAAATCAAGGAAAGGAGATAATAACAAATTAAGGAAAAGCTTCATGGAGTAGGTGGAATTTTAGCTGAAGGCTGAGAGGGAGGCAACACATAAAATAATAGTAAAGGGATTTAATAGATATACAGGAATCTGACAGGAGTGGGGGTGTAAGAACAGGCATGAGAAAAGCCACTGGGGAGGGAATTACCAAGGGAACTGGAAAGATATAGGACACTAATAATGAGGAACAATGAGATAAAGTCTTGGCTAAGGAAGGCAGATTATAGACATTATAGAATGTCCTGGAAGCCAGGCAGAGGTGTTTAAATTTGACCTTATAAACACCAATTAATAAAAAGAGAAGAGATGGCATAAGAAGATTATTTCAGCATCCATATTCAGGCATATGGAAGAGACAGGCAGGCAAGAGGAGACATCTGGAAAGAAATTATAGGGCTTAAAAAGAGACTTCAGTTAAAGAGAAAAAATCATCAAAGAATAGTACAAAGTTTCTAGCCTTGGAAACTATGAAAATGGAAAAGTAAACAGGGAAGCTGAGAAGTAAAGAACATTTGAGAATTTTGAGGAGATGGTTTTGGACATGTTAAATTTAAGCAAATCTGACTGGAGTTATCCTAAGGCTCTTCCATAGTATGATACTAGGATGAAGCCAAGAATCGATGGTGAGAATAGACAGGTATAGCGATCTAGCAATGCCTTATATCTATTTAGGGCTTTAAAGCCATTTATTATTCATTTTGAGCCTCAAAACTCAGGCAAGTAGAAAAGCAGAAATTAATACCTTCATATCACAAATAAATTAATGTTTAGAATTAATGTGACTTGCCCAAAGTCAAACAATTTGTTAGCAGCAGAGCCAGGAAAATTCTAGTTCCCTACTCTTGCCATTACACTCGCTTGCTTCCAAGAAGCAAGCAAAGCTCAAGGCCTTTCTTCCAAAAGGAGTCATCAGTATGGAGGCAATAGCTGAGGCCATGAGAATGTATACTTTTTTTTTTTTTTTTTTTTGCGATATGTGGGCCTCTCACTGTCGTGGCCTTTCCCGTTGCCGGATGCGCAAGCTCAGCGCCCATGGCTCACGGGCCCAGCCGCTCCGCGGCATGTGGGATCCTCCCGGACCGGGGCACGAACCCGTATCCCCTGCATCGGCAGGCGGACTCTCAACCACTGCGCCACCAGGGAGGCCCGAGAATGTATACTTCTTTGAGGGCAGGAGAACAGAAAAAGAAAGGATTCCTTGCAGATATACACAATTAAAATGTGGAAGAAGAGAGCTCAGCAAAAGACACCACCAAGTTGACAGGAATACTTGAGTGTAGGAAAAAAAATTAAAACCAGAAAACTGCAGAGTCAGGAAAGCCTAAGTACTCAGTGATCTTAAATGCTGAAGTTGGAAGAAGATAAAGATTTGGCATGGAGGAAACACATTTGATGGACGAAATTTTCTTTTAAAATTTAGCTCTTGAGAAATTCAGGGAAAAAAAATTTCTTCAAAATGTTTACTACTATCAACATTCATTTGGTACAATAATAAAGGGGATTGTATTTTATTTTTCATACATTAAACTTCTATTGACTACTTCACAAGTTATATTAACATAAATGAGTGTGAAATGCTTTTTTTTCAATGCTGAAAAATATAGAGTCTAAGAAAATAAAGCATCTATTTGATAAGTCTTATAGAAATATAATTTGACCCTTTAAATCACAGCTCAAATATATTTCAACACAACCTGATCAGTTATTTCACTTTTTCAGCAAAAAAAATATTTTCAGCTTTTTTACCTTCTCCATAGTTGAGAGACTTTTGACAAACATAAATAATAGTTTACTTTTTGCTATGATCTATTTTACTAATTCAAATGTCTGGTAAAGGAAAAGAGCGAGAGCTATAAAAGAGCAAAACTACAGATATACCCAAAGTAAAATTACTTATGAAGCAATTTCCCAAGTTTTAATAGTAAATGCTAATGGAAATAATACGGTCGATCTTCCGATTATAAATGCAACTTCTGTCTGAAGTGGAAGTTAGAATGCAAAGTAAAGTGAACAATTTTATCCTCATTCTAACATGACAGATATAAATAAAACATTTTCAACTAAAATCCACTTTCATTAGTGATATTGTTTAGAACACAGCAACGTCTTTGCACAAATCAGGTTTAGAAAGGTCCTTGGAAATGATGTCTAAAAGTTAAAAGAAATTTTAACATGACTATGAATTAAAAATGTAAAAGACACAGAGCTAATCAAATGACTTACTACTGACCTTGTTCAAGTCTGAAGAGGGTCTTTTCCAGCTTTTCCATTTCGTTCAGAAGTAAAATCCTAATCTGTTTACTGTGTCCCATTTTGGCTTCTAGAGGATTTGAAATGTTTCAGAAGAATGAAAAGAACTCCGAAATCAAATGAGGTACCCCTACGAAACAAAAAAGGAATCAAGATAAAGAAAATAACTGTATCTTAGATTCTCTAAGGCTGACAGCCACACACTTACATGTTCAAAATGTGTTTTAACCCTAGCAGAGCAACAAGAATGAATCTTATAAATAAGATCAGAAAAAGCAAATTGATAGTTGTTTCCTCCCTTCGAGCACAAGATCGAAGCAAAAATTACAGTTTAAAAATGAAGTATTTTTACATAATCAATACGTTTTGGAAAGCCTGGAGCTGGGTGGGGGGGGATGGGTAAAATTCCCAATCCCAAGCCAACCGGCTTCGAAGACTTTCATATGGCACTTCTGCTTACAAGAGATTAGCCTGCTCAAAGATAACAGGTGGGAGATCTCCCCATTCCCAAATTCGGGTCGGAAGCCACCAATGGGGAGATGAGAACAGAGGGAAGCAGCTGTTGTCCCTAGAACAGCTGCCGTGGACATAGAACGTACAGACAGAGCTATAGATAGAAGGAACGCATTTCCCCGGGACGCCGGCGGCATTCCTAGCACATACACCGAGCAAATTATACGTGCGGCTTCTGGGACACTGCAGGACCCGCGACTCTGGTGTTAAAACAGTCGGGGGGAGAAGACGCAAAGGAAAGTTAAAGGGAAAAGGCAGGCTGCCCAATTCCTAGCACTTACACCGAGCAAATTATACGTGCGGCTTCTGGGACACTGCAGGACCCGCGACTCTGGTGTTAAAACAGTCGGGGGGAGAAGACGCAAAGGAAAGTTAAAGGGAAAAGGCAGGCTGCCCAGGCGCAGAAAGAAGCCGCCGACGAGGAGGGCCGGGCGCCGTGAAGGGTAAAGGGAGGGGCGGCGGCAGCGGGCCGCGGCCGCTGTGTGAGTGGCAGAAAGCTTCTCCGTGACTCCGCCTCGCGCCGGTCCCCGAAGAGACCCTCGATCCCCACGGTGCCTCGAGAGCACACAGCCGGGGTGGGAGCTGACAAGTCCCTTCGCCCACTTCCGGGAATCTCCGCACCTGCTCGCCCCAACCGCTAGTCTCGCGAGAGTCCGGTCGCGGGCTGCCCGGTTGTAGGAAGTGGCTGAGGACCAGGCGGCGGGCTGCCTTTTTTCTCGCCCGGAGGAAGGTGAGACGGCTGGGGCGTGCCTCTCCTTTCACAGTCTGCGAGCTCTTGGTTGAACATTAAAATGCCGCGGTAGGGGGCTGCGAGCTAGGTTGAGCTGCACCACAGGGTCTTTTTGTGGACCCGCTGAATGGCGGGAGGCAAGCCACCTGGCTTCCTGTGCCATTTCTGCCACATTATGTTTTGTGTCTTCGTTTTGACTTTGTTACGTGGCCTAAGTTTTCTTGGCCTAAATTCCCTTAGCCTTGATTTCCCCGTGTCTAAAATGAGGGGCCTGGCTACAGTCTCAGACATTCCATCCTTCGCGTGTCCACATTTCTAGTCCTATCACAGAGCGGGCCCGTCTTCCTGAATACAGACATGGAAGGACTAGGTGGGTGAAGTGTGGCCAGTCTGCGAACGACCAAGGGGCAAATACACGTGTGTTTACAACGTCTGGTTGCACCTAATGTACACCGCGTAGACTTGAAGATCGTCTGAGACTAAGAATCTATAATGGCTATAGCTGCACATATTTTAGGCCAGACATTCAAGACATGGTGCAGATGCCTAAGGAGATTTTATGCCTGAGGGAAAAGGAAAGCCCATCTTTCAGGGCCTTTGGAGGGCACCTAGGGATCATGAGAAAATGGACAAAAGGTCTGGAGTGTGGAGAAGAATCTTGCTTTCTTTACTGTGGAATTACTGTAGGTCCAAGAAGGATAATGGATTAAAAACGAAAGATACTGAAATGTTTGCTTGTTTCAGTAGTTTTCTGAGAATGGCTAGTTGCAAATGGTGCAAAACTGAGTTTGGAAACCCACAGCTCGTTTATTCATTCAACTGACATTTATTGAACACCTACAATTTGCCAGGCACATAGGTGCTGGGAATGCAGCAATGAAACAAAGTCACTGCCCTCATGGGACTCCTACATGTGATTGGTAGCAGACAGATAAATAAGTAAATTACATACAATAATTAAAGGTCATAAGACATAAAGCTAAGAAGGGGAAAGTATGGAAGAATCAGGAGAGGGTGGTTTGCAGTTTTAAGTACAATACTAAGTAAAGGACTTAATGGTAAATTGACATTTGATCCAAAACAGACAAAGAAGGTAGAGGATATCCAGGGCAGAGGGTTATACACATAAGTACAGGAAGTGCAAGGGCTGGGAGGTAGGAGCATACTTGGTGAATTCAGAGAGGTCACTATAGCTGAGTGGAGCAGAGGTAAAAAGTTAGGACAGATAGATGGGGAGGGGTGAGTGGCCTAAAAGGCTTTGTAGGCCATTGCAAGGACTTGCGCTTTTGCTCTGGGAAAAAGAGCCATTGGAGGATTTTGAACAGAGCAGTGACATAATCTGACTGACTTTTAAAAGGGTCACTCGGCAACTTTATAGGGAATAGCTAAATAAACCTTAGGGTGTGGTTAGGAAGGAAGCAAGGAGACCTGTTAGGAAGCTATTTCAATTATCTAAGCAAGATAGAGTGGTGTGTGTGTGTGTGTGTGTGTGTGTGTGTGTGTGTGTGTGTGTGTGTGTGTGTGTGTGTGTAGCAGTGAAGGTGGAGAGAAGTTGTTGAACTGCGAATCTATTTTAATGGTGAAGCCTACACCACCTGCTGGTGGAGAGAAAGGAGTCAAGGATGATTCAAAGTTTTCTAGCCTGAGCAACCAGGACATTATTTCTGTCCAACAGAAATTTAATATGCTACATAGGTAATTAAAATTCTTCTGGTAGCCACATCAAAAAAAAGTAAAAAGAAACAGGTGAAATTAATTTTAATAATATATTGTATTTAACTGTATCTTAAACATGATTTCAACATGCAATCAGTATAAAAGATTAATGAGGTATTTTAGATTCTTTTTTTGTACCGTCTTCTAAATCTAGTGTATATTTTATGCTTCCAGCATGTCTCAATTCTGATAGCGACATTCCAAGTGCTTGATAGCTTCATGTGGCATGTGGACAGTGCAGAAGAAGGTGTCATTTAGTGAGAGAGGAAGCAAAGGGGAGGGGCAGGATTGGAGGGTGGAATTCAGGAGTTTTGTTGTAGACTGTCAATAAGCAAGTGAAGATGACTGTCCACTTGCTTGAGATGACCATCAAACATCCAAGTGGAGATACTGAGTCACCATTTGTAGCCCTGGTCTCCAAAGGAGTGTTTTTCAAATTGTGAGTCGTAACCCACTAAGGGTTGTAAAATTGATTTATTTGTTGCAACCAACAATTTTAAAAAAGAAATAAGAAAGCTCCGAATGCACTGCATCTAATAAAAGTATTGTTTCACAAAACTTCTGTTTCTATTACTTATGTTTTGATATGCTGGGTCATGTATTCCTCCTGGGGGTCAGGGTTAAAAACAAGTTTGAGAGCCACTGCTGTAGAATGTATGCTGTGTAAAGTCGTAATAATTCATGATTATGAAATGGTGCCTGGGTTTGAATCCCAGCTCTGCCTCTAACTAGCTGTGAAGCTTTGGAAGATACTCAACTTCTTTGTGCTTTGGTTTTTCCAACTGTGAAGTAGGGATAAAAATAGTACCTACTATTAATTAAACAAGGACCTAAGAACTGTGCCTAATACATACTAAGTACTGTGTAAGTACAAATATCAGCGCTGACCCTGTTGTGAAACACAGTCCACATTTATGTTTGTCTTCAGTCTCTCCTTTCCATACCCACTTCGGATTTCAGGTTTTCCTATTACTGTCTCATCACACAGCCCACCTGGTGATCACTCTTCACCAGGGCTCCAAAATTAGCCTTGCCTGCTGTCCTTCCTCCAGCAAAGCACTCACTTCAGTGCCCAGCATTTCAGCCAGGTATAAGAAGTAAAACAGATTGATGAAGTGAATTGCTTTAGTAGTGAATTCTTCTTAAACAAACGCTTAAATTTAAAAAGAAGATTTGTTAATCCAAATGACCTTAATTTGGGAGATTTCATGTTGTGAAAGAAAGTGAAGAATGTTAAGTAATGAAAACATTATGATTTAATGTGATGTGTCTCTAAGATTAAATTTATAAGCAACATATTATCCTTCTTAAAAAAAAAAGACCCTGGCATGCTATTTGCGAAGTTCTTGGAATGCCAGTGAATTTGCAGTCTAGGGCAGTAGTGGTGCCATGTGCCGCCTTCATTTTGGTGAACATTTGTCATGTGCCTGTCCTGTGCATGACAGCGAGCTATATATACACAATAATCTCATGCTGGAGTTGTTAGGAGAAGACTCTCCTTGAGGAACAACTGATGGATGACCTCAGCTATTTGGCAGAGACTCCAGTGTTTTCTAAAACATTGATGTTGATGCAGCTGGGGAGTGGGAGAAGGGCTGTGGTCAGAAGGGGCTTTCTTCAGGTTTGTGTATGTATATGTTTTCTGAAAGGAAAGGAGTTATTTGGGGGTATTATTTATGGTTAGGTCCCAATTCTGTGATCTTCTGGGTCTGAAGTAGAGGGGCTGCCTTACTTGGTTTTTATATTCAACAGTATTTTCTGTGTATTTTGTTTTGTAGCAAGTGTATACTGATATTATTAATAGTTTTATCTTATAAAATTTGGAACTGTGTTTCCAAAATCCCTTCTAAGGTGAATAATTTATTCTGCGTGTTTTGAAATATCCAGATATAGCCAGTGAGGAGAAGAAGGGAAGATAGGAAAGGAAATAGAATTGAAGTCAGAGAGGTGTGGAAAAACAGTGATTTTGATCCCTGAGTTTGATCCCTGGTGGGGGAACTAGCTCCCACGTGCATGCCACAACTAAGAGTCCACATGCCGCAACTAAAGTTCCCTCATGCTGCAACAAAGACCTGGCACAGCTTAAATAAAATAAATAAATAAATAAATATTTTAAAAAACAGAAAGAAGGGGTGATGACTAGTTGCCTTTGCTGGGTCAAAGATGGCCGTCAGACAAAGTAGATGAAGAGGATTCCAGGGCATGGCAGAGACAAAAGACATCACTGAAAGTTCTCTTACTCCATGAAGTATAAAGGTGAATTCAAAGAGCAAAGTCAGAGCCCAAGTTTTCAGCCTAAATTGTACAAAACTGAGGAAGGATGGAGACTAAGAATGAAGTAAGTGTTAGTTGGTATATAGTAAATATTTGTTTGAAAATTTATTGAGATGTACATATATAGAGGGAAATATAGTTGTATTTCTATTGAAACAAAAGATCTTGGGCTCTTAGAGCTAACATAGGAAAAGTCATTAAAGAATTCCTAAGCATTAATATAACAAATTAGCCCAAAGCAGTGCATGGAATGCTTGGAAAGCGTGATAGGAGAAACTTCAAGAGGGCATTTTTAGTGGTGATCTTTTCTTTATTCTTAGATCTTTAAAAAGTTCTTTGGTCTCCAATTTAATGCTAAATCATTTTCCCTTGCAAGTAAATTTAACTTTCTGTTAAAATAGTGGCTGCAGAGTTTCCATATAGGAGGGTTTAGAGTAGGCAGTCTGGTTGAGGAGAAAGGATGAGGACCTTGAAGTTAATTTTCTGTGTTTGTCAGGGTGACTACAGCCGCATATGACAGAAAAAAACAAAACAGCAGTGGCTTAAACTAGGGATGAGTTTATTTTTCTCTCACATAAAAGTCCATAGGTGAGGTGAGCAATTCAGAGCTGTCATGGCAGCTCTATAACATCATCAGGAAGCCAGACTCTCTCTAGTTCACAGCTTCCTTCCTCTTATTATGTGGAACTCATCATAGTACAATAAGGCTGCCAGAGCTCCAGCTATCATATCCACATTCAGGGAACAGAATGGAGGAAGAGGAGAAGAAGGGTTATTTTCCTACCTTTAAGAATTCCTGGAAATACCA